ATTTCTGGGACTTATTAATGATTTTATGTGGTTAGACTTTGGCATTAGATCTCTGATGATAGAACATCAGAGATCTAATCATTTATATACTTACAAAATTAAAGCTACCTGGGGGAAGTTGTGTGCCCCTGCTTGTGATATTAAGACATCTCTGGCCTGTGAGGATGAGGACGCTGGGCTTCTGGGGTGTCTTGAAATGACACTTCTAAGGTTTGGGCTTGTTGCAGCACAACACATGGATGCTTGATGGGATTAAGTGCAGGGAGTTTGAAGATCGGGTCGATGCCTTGGGCTCTTGGTCATATTCCTTGATGTGTTCTCGAGCATTGTTTTGCATTGTGGCAGGGTGCACTGTCCTGCTGGCGCAAGTTGGTGCCAGTTTCCACGAAAAGTGGGATACCTTTCATGGAAAATCCAGAGATTTTAAATGTTGTTTTGTAATAAAGTCTTCAATGATATACACATCTCCTGTCCATTGTTTTAATATTGCAGCTGATCAGTGTATAGCAGCATAAACTGACGGATATTTTATTTACAATGTGTTAAAAGTGGAAAAATTATAGTCATCAAATTTGGTTAATTTAGGATGGGAACTGTTTTGGGTTTTTTTTGTTTGGGTTTTTTTAATCCTAATTGGTCTGCATGTTTTGAACATGTAGCTCGATTATAACACTGCTTCTATTTGTGTTTATATGTCTGCATGAGGAAACAGAGCAGCAGGGCCATGCTTTCTATTAACCAAAGTATCATAGATCAGAACAGAAAATTGCTGTCATTAAATCTAATAACCGGGTGCTGTAGCCGCAGAATGTTCTAATGCACACATAAACATCAGCTTATAGCAGCGTGTCTGTGGGGGTGAACTCTGAGCGCTGCCGTGCATTAAAGCTTTTTCCGACAAAATATAGAATGTCTGTGTTAGTGTGGTCAGACATCCAGCGTTGCTGCTAATGAGAAGGGAGGATGTGTGCTCCACGGCGGTGATAGTCGGCTGTAGCTCAGCTCCAAGCATTCCGCTCATTCCTAGCTCTGTAGGTGATCTCCTCCAGAGCGGATGGGTTAGCGAGATCCTCTGAAATGGGACCCTGTGTGACCTCTTTCGAGCTCAGTTGTCATTTACATAAGTGGTTCACCCTGACAAAAGATTGGCAGCTTTAAGAATTACGAGTTTTGGTTTGTTTGAGAGACCTCTGGAAGCCCTTGACGTTGTTCCTTATTTGCTCCGTGCATGCAAAATCTTAGGAGGTAATCCACACCCGGTTCAACCTCAGCCCAGAGGCCCTGCCTTTTTACTCCCCTTGCACTGGACACCTATAGGCCTGTTCATCTCACTCTTCACCTTACCCCCGCATTCTGACCTCGTCTAAACGGCAGGAATTATCTCACATTCCTCTACACTGGAATCAGCCAGGTGAACCTCCAAGGACACTTTCCAAACACGGTGAACTCTGCGTCACTGTTTTCCCAAACCTAAAGGCTTTTCTAACAGATGGGACTAGATTAAAACTATCTATTTTAAACTTTTATTTGTCGTACATGTGCAATTCATGTCATTAATCACAGCATATGTAGCGTATTTGTCTCCTGTACACAAATGATGTGTGCGTAACTGAGACAGTATATTTTCAGAAGAGTAAGATAAACTGCTCATTTAGGGTAATGGAAAAACACTGAGCTCATTATGGCAAGAATGAGGTCAGTGCTAATGTAAAGAGACCTGCGGCACACTGAGAAAGTCTGGGTTTTCTGGCGGGACCCTCACTGGCGCACATTCCAGCTCTTTGTGACCCCAAGAAAGATTTAAATTAGCAGTCATATTTCGGTTTGCAGTTATATACTGCTGCGGTGTCTTACAGCACAGCAGCTAGCAAGCTATAGAGCTGGTCTGTGGATAGGAAGTCATCTTGACTTTTGACAGGTTATATTTAGATGTTTTTTATGAAAAGTATGGAATTTCATTGCAAGTTCTTACTGGCAAAAGTGGCACACAGCCATAACTTAACTCCATATTCCTTAAAGTTAGTACCTTTATTACTCTGGAGGGCAAAATTCCTTATGTCTACCTGTCCAGTGGTAGTGAAGCAATGCGATGTGTGGCCATATCTGTGTCGATGTGCTGCTTAAGTAGGTTATATTTCATGTTGAGTTTTGCTGCTGTTGACTCCCAAGGATACTCCCTTTCTCAGAGGATTCACTAGACCCAACTAATGGATTCCAGTTGTTTGACACAGCATGACTTGGCTCTCTTTGCTTTTCTAAGAAGACCTTAGTTGAATTAGATATGAAGTTCAAAAATCACAGCGACAGACACTTGGGTTATCAAGTATTTAACTGTTTGTTTGCCCAAAAAGACACCAAGAACCTTTGGAACTTTTTTCTAGAGAGTTTAATGTTCACTTTACATTGTAAAATAACAAGTAGGAGTAAAAAAAACAGCACTTTGGGTAAAAACTATGGTACAAATGTTTATAGAAAAGCTTCACTAATATTAAAAAAAAGACATACAAAAACCAAAATGACAAAGACATCCTCGTGTCAGTGTGCAAATAAGTTTATACAGACAGAAACGCTTCCATATGAGGCTGCGCTTCTAGATAAATTATTTAAATAGCATACATCTACACAAAATGAAATACCCTCAACATAAAACACACAGAATAATTTATCAAGACGCCACAAATACATATCGCAAAACACAGTCAAGGCAACATTTCTTTAATCCTTTACGTTCCCGTTTGGGCTTCTTTTGCTACAAAAATATCTTATATACAGCATATAAATGATAGTAAAAGTCTTGCTTTAAAAAAAAAGAGAGAGGAAAAAATAGAAGCCAACCAATTTATACTCTGTTGATAAGACAAGGGATTCTCGTGTATTGCTGGTCTCAGCACAAAAAGAACTAATGAGGTAATATTTGTACATAAAGGGTTTCCTTTTTGTTTTCCATTGTCAGAAATTGTACACACAAGCTCAGGCACACCAGCCACGCACACTGCAGAAGTGGAATATTTAGAGATGGTGTTGTTGATGTTTTTTGTTTTGTGGTTTTGGTCCGAGGTTAATAACTCTTAATCTTTCGAGGATCCCGATTTCACGGGTTGCTGCTGACATTTAAAGGTGGAAAAATGAGCAACAATTAAAGCTATAAACAGTTACACTTACAATAATCTTAGGAAACAGACTGGCCCCTCACATATTAGTTATCCACGTTATATTTGCTCATAATTACTGTTCCAAAGCAGCGTGCCTGCCTTGGGGCCCTGTGCTGTCCTTAATATTGTGCTCTCCTTGTTTCTTCTAGTGCTCTTTTCCTGAGAAAACGAATATTTCAGGCCAGCCCTGCGCCTTGGATACACGCACGTGCCTTTAAAAAGGGGGCTGTCACAGGGAATTAAAATCCAATTTCGACTCGGTTAGCTCAATAATTGCGGTCATCAGGTGGAACAAATGCACAAACACACATTGCATTCACTCTCTTTGATAGTAACAGTCAGTCCATACTGTCCATTGTCCCTCAAGAGTTCCTTCAAAGGGTAATCTCACCCTCCAAACTTAACAAAGTTCTCCTACTGTTTTCTTCATACTGAAACAAGTATATCTGAGTCCACAGCAGATGCATATTAATACACAAAAATATCTTTTCTTAAAAAAACAAAAACGAACAGAAACGCTCTTCCCTTTGGTCCCTCATCCACAGAGGAATACCGACAACAGTTCAGGTGTGCAAAGCAATAAAATGTGGCCCTCTTTCAACGCAGATCAGAGCAAACAGAGTGAGTGAGAGCCAATCGTCTTCTGAGCAGAGCCGTGCTCAAAATTTGAGTTTGGTGCTGTGGTGCAGAATTTACTTTCATTTGGCTTAGACTCCTGAGGTCACCTCACCTCACGTTAGCTCGCTTGCTCTTCATACCTCCAACGCGTATTTCTCAAAGGAAAGGAGTTAAATAAGTCGATCCAGGTCTCGTTTCACACTGATACATTCTTCTAAAAGCCTCTGTGCTCCGATTATGTATCTGAAAGGAGTCGCAGATAGAAAGGATGTTAGGAATACAGTTTCAGGTGATGGTAAGTGGTTTCAAATGCATCTAACCTTCAAATGTGTGCTTACCTCTGCATTCGTATTTGAGGTCTGAGAAGTAAACCATCTCCTGAGAGAAGACATACAAGCCTAGTCGCCCACCGGCGTAGGTTTTGTCGTAGATGTTTCCGGAGTCAGCCATGATTCTCTTGCCTTCATACATGACCACTCTACAAAATAAAATACAGTCAGTGGAGCAGTGGAGACGTTTTAAACTATGCAACTGAATGAAAGAGCCTTTTTTTTTTTCTTCTTCTGGGGTTTTGGTCTCACCTGATAAGTCCAGTCTTGGGTCTGTGGGTCAGATGCCATCTGTAGGCAGTGAAGTCTTTCCAGCCAATATTCTTGCGGTCGTGCCACAAAGTGCGCACCTAAAAGTTACAATTAGCAAAAGTTACAATGAGAAGAGTCTCAAACGTTTTCCTCAATTACGCCTCAAACTCTGAGTCAGTTCAGCTGTGCTCACCTGTCCTGGGGTGTCTCCGG